CTCTCCCCAGAAATTCAAACAGAATTTTTTTTCTTTTCTTTTTTTTTCCAGTTGATCAAATCTTTAGAAAGTTTTATTAAGTGTTTCCCCGAGTAGTCTCATTGATTAAATCAAAGAAGAGACTATCGATATAAAAGAAAGACTGCGAGTTGCTGTTGGTTTTAAAGCTGTACAAGTTTGTAACCAATAATAATATCAGTTTACAAATGGGAAAAAATAAATTCGTTATTACAATGAAAGTTAATTATCGTTGCCATTTCTGACGAGGGATTTCCGTTTTCGAATCCATTCAAATCTTCCGTATTCACACATCGACAGTATGATGATGACTTAATGGAAACTACCTTCTCACCGATTTCCGTTTCTACTGTTCTAGATTTATCTGAAATAGAAATAGATTAACCGACAATTTTCGCTGGCGCCAGAGATCCCTGAAATATTATTGGCAAAAAGCGAGTCGGATTCAATAAAGAAATTTCCTCCGACAATTAATTATTCTTTTCGATCTTCTTAGATGGCTCTGCGTAAACGAAGGTGGTTTTATTTTTTATTTTTTATTTTTATTACATGCAAGACGCCTAACTCCAACAAATCTTCAGCTGCCGTCCGAGTTGCATCTCTAGAGACATGACACGGGATACGTTTGTTCAACATCAATTCAGAAAGATAATGACGCTATAATTAATCACTCTGATGGTTTGTTTATAAACAATGAATCGAAAAATGAAACATTCTGATTGTTGATGATTTCCTTGCATCCCGTTCTTTAGATTTCTGTACAGCATCGTTTTAGTTTTATTTGAAACTTCATCAGTGCTCATATATTGACGGCGTTTTTTGACTTTATGACAACTGGTTTCCTTTTCAAAGACTCCAGTCAGTGTTCATATACAAATACGGGATTGTTTCTCCTGTTCTTGACAACCATTTTATATATCTCCAGAAATCACTCCATCCAGAAATGACAGATTTTCAGAAGAAAAAACACAGAATAATAACAAAAATTCATCTCAGAATTTTAAACGATGGGAGACAACCGCAGGACACACCAACGAAAATATTGCGCCTAAAAAAAAATAAAATAAAAAAGATCAGGATATTAGTTCCAATAAGTCCCAATTTAATAGCGTCCTGATATCGGCTACGCTGCGACAATGTCGAAACGCTTTAAATTGTTCATTTCTCCTTTTTGGATAATACATTTTCTTTCTTATGAAGTCTGTGTCCACGGTTTCACAACGCTAGGCGTTACTTTCCACCGTAGGTGCTTAACACTCACTGTTGGTGTTCCGCTACAAATAGTTTATTTACGAGATGGTGCTGCTAGGCCATCACTCAAACAAATCAAAAGTTGTCCTTCTCCCAGTGGTTGCCTGGAGTCCTCTGATATTAACCCACAGTAGAGAGGAGAGTAGATTCGCAAAGGTATTTGTGCGAAAGTGATCGCAACAGCCAAGGTGAGAATTTGAACTGTGAACTCCAGTCCCAGTTTCTGCGATGATACAAGCTACGTTAAGTACATGTCCAATCCTTCTTCTTCTTCTTCTTCTTCTTCTTCTTCTTCTTCTTCTTCTTCTTCTTGTAGTAGTAGTAGTGTAGGAGGAGGAGGAGGAGACGGAGGAGAAGGAACTCGTGTCAGCCACAGAAATAGAAAATTATATTATGTAAGTGTGACAAGACTTTTGGATTCCTCTGCTCTTCATCTGTGAGGAAATTAGTTACTCTTTTGAAAATCAACTGTGGCTATTTAAATTCACCTTCAGATTTCTGTGTCGCATTTAACCTTGTCTGTTCATGTATTGAATGCGGTTGCCATATCTGGTACCATATCTGTTGCCATATCTGGTGCCATATCTGGTGCCATATCTGGTACCATATCTGTTGCCATATCTGGTGTCATATCTGGTACCATATCTGTTGCCATATCTGTTGCCATATCTGGTGCCATATCTGGTACCATATCTGTTGCCATATCTGGTGTCATATCTGTTGCCATATCTGCTACCATATATGTTGCCATATCTGCTACCATATATGTTGCCATATCTGTTGCCATATCTGCTACCATATCTGTTGCCATACCTGGTGCCATATCTGTTGCCATATCTGGTGCCATATCTGGTGCCATATCTGCTACCATATATGTTGCCATATCTGTTGCCATATCTGGTGCCATATCTGTTGCCATATCTGGTACCATATCTGGTGCCATATCTGCTACCATATCTGTTGCCATATCTGGTGCCATATCTGGTCTGCTGTCTCCGCTGTTCATCTCGAGGTTCTCGACAAGATCTAAAGAAGGATCTGTAATGTCATCGGTCCTGAATTGGTTTTCGACTTCACACCATTTCTCACAGACGTGATGTGGCTCCCCTCTTTTCTGCAAATGGCTGCTGCTCTGACGAGCTTTTTTTTCTTGGTACCCCGACTACATGGATTTAAGCGTGGTACTACGTTAGCCTCTCGGTCTCATCATTTTACTGTTGAAGCAGTTGAATGTAACCGCCACTTCTGCTGCAACAGTTTTTTCCCTTGCAATTCCCTTCCTCTCACTTGCTTCCATGATAACTACAATCTTCAAAAATTTAAATGCATCGTCAATTGCCATCTTCTGTTGGTTTTATCCGTCCTTTTTTCCTTTCCCCAATCCCTCTAGAGCCATTCTTTTCCCTCACACATCTATCTTACGCCTTTTTATTTTACACGTATCTATCTTACGCCTTTTTATTTTATACGTATCTATCTTACGCCTTTTCAATTTGCATGCATCTATCTTACGCCTTTTTATTTTACAAGTATCTATCTTACCCCTTTTTATTTTACACGTATCTATCTTACGCCTTTTTATTTTACACGTATCTATCTTACGCCTTTTTATTTTATACGTATCTATCTTACGCCTTTTCAATTTGCATGCATCTATCTTACGCCTTTTTATTTTACAAGTATCTATCTTACCCCTTTTTATTTTACACGTATCTATCTTACGCCTTTTCAATTTGCATGCATCTATCTTACGCCTTTTTATTTTACAAGTATCTATCTTACCCCTTTTTTATTTTACACGTATCAATCTTACGTCTTTTTATTTTACACGTATCTGTCTTACGCTTTTTTATTTTACACGTATCTATCTTACGCCTTTTTATTTTACACGTATCTATCTTACGCCTTTTTATTTTACACGTATCTATCTTAACCCTTTTTATTTTACACGTATCTATCTTACCCCTTTTTATTTTACACGTGTCTATCTTAGGCTTTTTTATTTTACACGTATCTATCTTACGCCTTTTCAATTTGCATGCATCTATCTTACCCCTTTTTATTTTACACGTATCTATCTTACGTCTTATTATTTTACACGTATCTATCCTCCGTAAATCCCTTTATGCTAGTGGCTCTGCTGTCTTGTTTGGGGTGAAATGATTAAAAAAGAATTCCTAGATAGATATATTTCAGTACTTGCTTGATTTTTGACTTCCCCAATTCATAGCTTGCATTTAGGGACGTCCCTTCTTTAACTACTATGAACTCGGTCTTCTTAAATCGATGGTTCTCCTTATTTCCTTGTCTCCAAGTTGCTGCAGTATTCTTTCTGTGTTTCGTGAAAATTTGAATTCTGATGAAACCAGCTATTCAACAATTAATGAAATTTATCCATTTTCTTGTTATTGTTGGACGTACTTAGTAATTTCGTGTGTGATGGTGTGCATAAAAAATATAAACCTCTGTCTACTTCTAATGTTTGATGTCAGAATGAGCGTTCAATATGAAATGTTCATAAACGAGACAAACATATTCTGGCAGTCGTTATTGTACGACAATCACACAATGAATATTTAACACTAAATATTAATCGCTGGTAATTCAATAAATTGTAATAGTGCTAAGCATCCCACTCACGATGATATCTCCTCGCGGCCAAATGATTAATCAACCAGTCTCGCAGGTCATTATGACTAACTAGGGAATGCTGGACAATATCCTTGCAAATGAAGGGAATTGAAGGCCACAGAAATATAGTTCTACAGAAGGATGGTGAGGATAACATGGACTGAACACGTGGACGTTTTTATAGAAAATGAAAACAAAAAGGACGCCTATACTTAACATCAGAAAGAGACAGTTGAAATTTCCAGGGGACATAATGAGGAAAAAGAACTTAGAAAATTTGATACTCACGAGACATGTGACAGTCGTAGAATAACAGTAAAAAGCAGCAAATAACCTACCCAACGAGTTTGTGTAAAGAGTTAACAGAAGAGAGAGAAGACATTGCAAAAAGTCAAAATTGAGTAAGAGCCGCAAAGGATAGGAAGTTGTGGAGAGCCATGATAGAAGAAGTGGATTCATTTCTTATTGAGAACTCTATATCTGTGGCCATGTGCCTAGAAAAGATGGACATGATATTTTATGGACCCTCATCATGTTTAATGGTCATTAATAAAGAATACGATCAAAACTGAGTAAACACTATTTTAGTCTGGACATTGACGCGTATCAAGCAATTCAGGACATTTGCTAGTAAGAAACAAGAAGAAAACAGAAGTGTAAGATGAATACGAATAAAACAAAAACGTGTGATATCGATACATGTCAAATAAAAAAGCGTAAGATAGATACGTGCAAAATAAAACGGCTTAAGAGAGATCCGTGCAGAATAAACGGGCGTAACATAGATCAGTGCAAAATAAAAACGCGTAAGACAGATCCGTGTAAAATCAAAAGATGTAAGATAGATGCATACAAATTGAAAAGGCGTAAGATAGATACGTGTAAAATAAAAAAGCGTAAGACAGATGCGTGCAAAATAAAAAGGCGTAAGATAGATACGTGTAAAATAAAAAGGCGTAAGATAGCTGCGTGCAAAATAAAAAAGGCGTAAGATAAATGCATGCAAAATAAAAAGGCGTAAAACAGATACGTGCAAAATAAAAAGGCGTAAGATATATGCTTGCAAAATAAAAAGGCGTAAGAGACATACGTGTAAAATATTAAGGCGTAAGATAGATGGGTGTAAAATAAAAAGGCGTAATATTGATGATTATAAAATAAAAAGGAATAAGATAGCTGCGTGCAAAATAAAACGGCGTAAGACGGATGCGTGTAAAATAGGAAGGCATAAAATAGCTGGGTGCAAAATAAAATGGTGTACGATAGATACGTGCAAAATAAAAAGGTGTAAGATATATGCGTGCATATTGAAAAGGCCGAAGATAGATGCCTGTAAAATAAAAAGGCGTAAGATAAATACCTGCAAAATAAAAAGGCGTAAGATAGATGCGTGGAAAATTAAAAGGCGTAAGATAGATACGTGTAAAATAAAAAAGCGTAAGATAGATGCGTGCAAAATAAAAAGACGTAAGATAGATACGTGCAAAATAAAAAGGCGTAAGATAGCTGCGTGCAAAATAAAAAGGCGTAAGATAAATGCATGCAAAATACTAAGGCGTAAGATAGATAGGTGCAAAATAAAAAGGCGTAAAACAGATATGTGCAAAAAAAAAAGGTGTAAGATATATGCTTGCAAAATAAAAAGGCGTAAGAGACATACGTGCAAAATATTAAGGCGTAAGATAGATGGGTGTAAAATAAAAAGGCGTAATATTGATGCTTATAAAATAAAAAGGAATAAGATAGCTGCGTGTAAAATAAAACGGCGTAAGACAGATACGTGTAAAATAGGAAGGCATAAAATAGCTGGGTGCAAAATAAAATGGTGTACGATAGATACGTGCAAAATAAAAAGGTGTAAGATATATGCGTGCATATTGAAAAGGCCTAAGGTAGATGCGTGTAAAATAAAAAGTCGTAAGATAGCTGCGTGCAAAATAAAAAGGCGTAAGATAGCTGCGTGCAAAATAAAATGGCGTAACATTGATGCGTGTAAAATAAAAAAGTTGTAAGATAGCTGCGTGCAAAATAAAAAGGCGTAAGGTAGATGCGTGTAAAATAAAAAGGCGTAAGATACGTGTAAAATAAGAACGTATAAGATACATGCGTGTAAAATAAGAACCCACTTTTTAGTAGCTGGGCATGCAATAGATTCATTATAGTCTTTCCACGTCATTGCAGCTGACGACGTTAGCCCGAGAAGGCGCAACATGTCACTTTCCTGGAGGTTAGCATCAGCTGGTTTGAGAACAATTATCTATATACTCGAATGTAAGTCATTTGTACATTTCTAAGTGTATAAGAGTTCTTACTCTGGCATGCATTGTTTTAGGGCCAGCTTGTTATATTAACTGATTATGTGACTAACAATTTCCACTCTTCTCTGTTGAGGCGGCTTTTGCCGTTTTTTTTTTTTTTTCATTTTTCTTTTTTTTAATGACTTCTGTGCCTCTTCCACTCGTCACCACTTATGACGCCACATCTTGATTGTCAGACGCTGAAAATCTGACAGATAAAGCGGGAAAGATATGAATTAATAAACTGTACGGGGAGATAGCGGACGAAAAAGAAAGATGGAAGGTATAGATTTGGATAAAGATAAAGATAGAATAAGTGGTAGAGACTAGATCATTAAATAGATAAAATCTTAAAACACCAAACCATCCACAATTGCTATTAATTTCTCAAGTCAATAAGAGAGGGTTAGTTTATTCACTAAATGTCCGGTTAACATCACCTTTTGTCAGACTTGGTTTAATGCCTGTTGCTTCTAACTTTAATGGTAGAAATATATATTTTAATGAAAAATAAATATATCGATAATATAACACAAACGAACATACATGTATAAATGACGTCACACATTATGAAATGGACAAAGTCCGACAATTATTTTAAGACATTTTTATGTTATACATTCTTTTTATAAATAAAATATTTAAGTAAATGCTCTGTTTTATAATAAACAGTATTAAACAACATTTACCGGCTTGAATGTCCGTGAAATTTTCACAGAAAATATTCGTCCTCCGACAGGATTCGAACCTGTATCCTATATGGCGTTACAGTTTTTTGGGTAGCGTTTACTAGTGAGCCAATCAAAATGAGCTGACTCCTTTTATAGTTCACCAATAGAAGGGTTAACCAATCAGAAAGCTCAAAATATTCAATGCGACGTGTATAAAGGCAGCCATTTTGTTTTTTCTCCCAAAATATCTCCATTGCCAACCTGATATCGAAGTGTTAAAGAATTACTTAACAGCCGCTACTTTCTCTGAATCTTCACTGCCAAACTCTGATATTGAACACATTACGGACTTCACTGGATTTCATATTCAGAGACTACGGCAAACATGGTCAACATACGGAACCGGTAATGGCACGCCAAGCTAAATGACAGATACAGGTTCGAATCCTGTCGGAGGACGAATATTTTCGTGAAAATTTCTCGGACATTCACGCCGGTAAATGTTGTTTAATACTGTTTATTATAAACAGAGCATTTACTTAAATATTTGTATCTATAAAAAGAATGTATAACATAAAAATGTCTTAAAATAATGTATAAATGTGTTTGAATTTCTGTTTGAATTTTGAATAAAGAGTTATCATTTGCATAATTTACATTCCAACGAATGCCCTCATCTTTGTTGTTATAGTTACAACGTTTCAGCTGTTGTACACTCGGGCCTGTTTCAAGTGTCTGTCTAACCGGATAACGAATCTCGAACTGAACACTTTATTTAATCTACGAGGATAGATCGAAGGAATATCTTTCTTAGTTAGAACTGCTCAGTTATTGATCACTCTGTTTGCGCTGATTGTGGTCCTGTACTACCTAGCCCAGAGATTGAAATCAGTATTGCTGTTTCACCCATAGGACAACAACCAAGTGGATTAAAGCCTTGGTTCTTGAATTTGACTCCATAGTAATTACGATCTCCCCAAAGATGAAGAAGAGGCTCAAAGTGACAGAGATGTGGATCTACAGAAGGATGCTAAGGATATCATGGACCGAGCGTGTGAGCAACGATAAGGTCTTAAAGAGGTTGCAAACAAGGAGGAGGCTTATACTTAACATCAGGAAGAGACAGCTGAAGTTTCTGGGTCACATAATGAGGAAGGAGGGTCTGGAGAATTTGATAATCACGGGTCGAATTGCGGGAAAGAGAAACAAGGGAAAACAAAACGTGACTTACCTTGCGAACTTAAGCAAGTGGATGACAGAACGTGGTCTGGGGGAGGAAGAAGAGGGAAGGAACTTGTTGAGAGCTGCAAGGGATAGAGGGAGGTGGAGAGCCATGATCGCCTACGTCCTGAAAGGACATGGCACGTAAAAAGAAAGAAGTAATTGCAAATTTAAACCCTGAGCTGGGTAGTACAGACTGAAAACGGGGCAAGCAATAATTGAGCAGTATTTGGTACATTGATTTGTTTACGGTTTATCAACCCTTTGCAGTCTATTTAAAGCAAGGAAATATTTTTAGAGTGTAGGGATAATAATGATTTAGTGATACATTTCTTATTAATTAACCCATAGCTGGGGGAGAAGAGGTGGATTCATGCCTTTCTCACGGGTGTTTTCACGTAAGTGAATATAACAGACCCAACGGGGATTGGAACTTAGCTTTCCGATTAAAGATTCTGAGCCATTATCCATTACACCACCCACACATCCAAGCTTACAGCACCTGGTATTTCCAAGCGGTCACCCATCTAGGTACTGACCAGGGTCGACGTTGGTTAACCTCGTTGATCGTATTAAGGAAGACCTGAGTTGATGCCAAAATAGACTTTGCACTCAGCGCACTTCAAAGAAGATGGCTGAACCGAGTGATAAAGATGGCGGAGGTCCGCGCTTCACCCGATACCAGGGACTGCACTCCAACATAAGAACACCCAGGATGTGCATGGGAAATACAATCTGACAGGTAGCTATACAAACATCCAACCCAGGGAGATTAAACTTTTTTACGCGTATACTAGAATCTAGGGTCCACGTTCGGAGATTACACAGAGGCCAAACATTCTCTTTTTGGCGGTAATTGACGGTAATTATATAAAATCCGATGATACGTGGGAGAGTTTAAGCCTCGTGCTCTCTTGTACAACGCCAATCTTATACAGTTATGGCTAAGAACAAACGTTGTGGTGGGAAACAAAGGTAAAACTACTGGTTTAAGAATGGCAAAGTAGCTGTGATAAATTATTTTTTAATTTTTTTTTTTTTACAGATTATCAACCTTTTCTAGATTATTTAAAGCCGAAAGATATTTTAGATTATACGAACGTTGCAATAACAATTTTTTGAGAATTTTATTTCCACGTACTAATTGCTTGTGGAACGACGTTTCGACCTTTGTGAACACAGGCGTTCTTCAGCTGTTTGTCGTACAGATTTTTCGCTTTCCTGCCTCCTACAATCTTAAAAAAAGTTTAAATACAACGCCAATCGCCATCTTTGCATGACGGAAACCTGGTACTTTTATTATTATTTTTACTCATCAAAGTTTACTCATTCTCCTTTCACTCGCAGTAGCCCCCATGCGTCTTAGTGGCATTATCGCCTTGCTTGAAATGAAATGATTTTGAAAAAAATATTTTCCCAGCACAAGCTAGCGGAGGGGGATGCATTCATGCTTGTCATAAAGATGTTTGCATAAAAGTGAATGTAAATAACTCGACTGGAATTCGAACTCGGTTTTCCGATTTATCTCCTCCCAAACCGAATATCCATTACACTACCAGACCATTAAAAGCCGCCATAAAAAAAATCTCCTTAAACTTGAATTAAAGAAATACTCGTTAAAGGTTCATAAAGATCTTTGCGGTTTTGATGCAAACTTCTCCGATTTGGCAAATAACAAATGGCTTTCATAGAATGAAAACAGAAATGTTTATTGATTAAACAATCTTAACTCTCTGGGAGCATACTGCTGAATGAGGCCCCATGTCCAGGCATCCACCTCGAAGAGAATAGAAAAGAAAATGACGCAAGAATTTCCTAACAAGCAAAATGACAGTCAAAAGTTGAAGGTACCAATTCCGACTGCTGATTTCTAGTATCTACTATCTATATTTCTCATGTTGTCTGTCTGTGTGTCTGTCGTGGGCGTTGTTACCTCGCCCAGGCCGCATTTCTCATCCGATTTCGATGCGGTTTTCAACAAAAGTTTGCAAATGGCTGCCGTAAGGACATGACGGAGCCCGATTTTTGAGTTCGGAATCAGGTTCCGAAAAAATCGATAATCGAAAAAATTCTGCTTACAGAAGGAATGATCGCATTTCAACCAAATTTGACACCCTCTTAGAGTCTACCATTAGAAGTGTTGTCCAGAAGTTTCATGACCACGGACCCCTAAACAGCGCGGAAAATCGATAAAACCCAAAAACCGATACGCCCAGATTGCGTCTGAACCGCATGTCGGTTTTTAGCGAAAACCGAGCGGATTTATGAAGAGGCCATTGGGAGTCATCATGTGAAGTTTCAACTCTGAGCACCACCCCCCAAACAGAGTGCAAATCGACAATCAGTCAACCCTTAAAAATGTTTTTTCCTTTTTTTTAAAGCTGATCGTATTGTGTTTATTTTGTATAGTTCTTTTTTCGTAACAGATTTAATGTTTACTATAGAGCTTAGAAAAAGTTGGCAGTGTGA